TATATACACACATATATCCAATGGGGTTTGGGTGCCTTCTATCTACAATATGTACCTATGTATTTACAAACAAAAAATATATAAGCTATAGCTTTAATAGTACAAGCTTTGCTTAGTTTGAAACTAAATGGCTTTTTGTGTCAGATGTCCGAAAATATTAATATTTATTTATTTATACAGCCCTGTACGATGGATGTCGCGCTGTCGAAAAATCCTACTCACACTTAATGCTGCTGAATTCATGTTTTTATTTTTTTGTCTATGTCTATTGTTTTATTTTGTCTATGTTGTGAAAACACACAAGATTGTTGTGACAATGACGGGCCTGTTGGTTTAGCGGTTAGTGACCCTGACTGCTAAACCGATGGTCGTGGGTTCCATTCCCACCCAGGACAAATATTGTATGATGAGCACGGTCATTTGTTCTATGTCTGGGTGTAATTTATCTATAATATATGTGTATTTATAAATATAAAAGTGTGTTTATCAGCAGTCTGGTTAAGGCTCTGCCTAGTTTGGGATCAGACGGCCGTGTGTGAGATGTGTGAGATATATTATTATTATGTATTTTATTATTTGTAGTCCCACGCTATTCTATTGGATTAAGTAAATAAATAAATAAATCTGATATTTGGAAAACCAAATCAGATAACCACGGTCTGGTCGTATAGTTTACATAATGTACGTAAGAGTTATCGCTTCTCAGAATCACAGAGGAAGTACGTTTATCATAACTGTTTATGTCAGATATGAATGAGGTTAGTGGGTTCGGTCTTTTATATTGTGAATAGCGTATGTGTGTAGCAACCTTAATAAAACCATACGAACGTGATCTGCTCGACCTGGTAGTGCTTACGCTGCCAGTCAGCGTATAAGTGTGTATTACCCTTTTTAACCGACTTCAAAAAAGGAGGAGGTTCTCAATTCGACTGTATTTTTTTTTATGTTTGTTACCTCATAACTTTCGACTGGGTGAACCGATTTTGATGATTCTTTTTTTATTAGAAAGCTGGTGCTTCCCGTGTGGTCCCATTTCAATTTGGTCTAGTTCTGACCATGGAATCCATGAGAAAACCATTGAAGTCGTTTTTTTTTGGTAAAATTTTACTTGTCTTACTAATGCCTTACTTTCTTATGTACCTTTTCTATAAATTTCATCATCATCATCATCATCAGAGTAGTGTATACACATCTAGGATACCAATAAAAGTAACTAAATACTGTTCATCAATAGATATAATATATGTGTATAACTATTTATCTGTAGTCTCGAGCGACGTGCTCTGCTAGGGATTGGTAAATCGACCGGTGCGGAGTGCAGACAGGGTGCGTACGCGGCATGTCGGGGCACCAGGGACTTCCTTTCTAGGGTATACCTGGTTCCCCGGCTATTAGTACCCGAGACGGCGTGCGGTTTTAGTCGGTTCGAGTCCGACATGCCACCGACGGGTGGTATCCGAGGGGATTTCCGCACGGAAAAAAAAAAAAAAGGGTGCGTACGCGGCGTTCCGATATTCGTATTATAATATCTTTACATAAATATTTATAACAATACAAGTGTACATTACAATCAGCCTATCGCAATCCACTCCTAGCCTCTCTATCAATTTGTTCAGAATTTTTATTTATTTAAAATTTAATGCACATGTTGTACAAAAGCGGACTTAATGCCATGAGGCATTCTCTCTCAGGTGATGTAGAAATATGATGCAAAGATTATTAAATGTGTAATAGATCATAATAGTTTTTTAAATAAGAGACAAACCTTAGATATGCCTTACAGTTTTCCCATCAAACAACCAAAGTGCAGTAGGTAATAAGCTTACCTCATATTATTAAGTGGAATTAAAATGACTGTCTATATTACTCTACCTATATTTTCGTAGCGTCAATATTTATATAATAATTGGAACAGCAAACATGTCCCAAACTAGGCAGAGCCTTTGCTATGGTAACCAGACTGCTTATAAACATACTCAGATATATCTTAATACATACATATTGTAGATCGTGCACATCTCACAATTATTTGTCCTGGGTGGGAATCGAACCCGTTGTGGGTTCGATTAACACCCAGGTATAGTGGTCACTAACCACTATACCTATATACATATATAGATATAGTGGTGGTGGTACCAATTCTGTGTCCTTGTATAACTCTGTTAGCCATCGCTTGCTGAATCATCATAATTAATTCGTTTAGATAGCTGGCCATTGACATTAAAGTTTAAATAAATATAAATTATTATCTATACAAGTGGTTTGCACACGTCATTAACATAATATTATTGCTACATAACACATGTCACTCAGTCAATATTGCATTTTATAAAGTAAATATATCGTCTGAAGGTAAACGGTTACCGTGGGACATTTAGGTGTGTCATATTTTTATCGAGAAAGATTATTATTAACCTTAAAAACATAGTCTAGATTGTATTTGTATAATTATTACTATTATTTCAAGTCTTATTAGGGGAAGGGGTCACGACCCTAATGTAAAATAACACTTTAAAGTTTAAAATTTCGAATAATCTTAATAGAAATAAGTCTTCCCCTTTCATGTTTTAAAGACTTATTCAACCATTCTTTCTCGACTATTTTGTACTTTCTTTCTTAAAAAGACAACTCGAACAGTAGGAATATATTCCTGTGTCGCGGGGATTTTACAAACATACATGAAACGGACACAAAGAACACCCAGAACAGCAATTTGTGGATCACACAAACTGTTGTTCCATGCGGGGATCGGACCCACAACACTCATCGCAGTAGAAAGTGGCGAGGTGACCGCTTAAACCACTACGCCATCCGTGCAGTCAAGTACTATGGAGATACTGCAGAATAGTGATGTGCCGGATATCCGTATCCGTATCCGTGACTTTTTTGGCGGATCTTTCAATACATATTACATAGATGAAATTCTATATAGGTGATTTTGTATTCACTGTAAAACTCTTAGGTATGTGTTTGTAACACTATAAACAGCAACTTTTTTTCTGGCCAACGTCTAAATGAAAAAAAATTGGTCCTCCATTCAAATATTGTTAGTTTGTATGGAGAAACAATTTTTTATCTTTCGTTTTCGGTGTTAGTCCAGAAGAAAAGTTGTTGTTTATAATGTTACTAATATGCACTTCAGAGGTTTTCAGTAAATTTAAATTTAACCCTGAATAATGGTTATAAGGTAGCTATGAAAAACTATTGAATTCTGTTCAGATTACTTTTTATTTCTTAAAACAAATATTTGGCATCTTTGTATTGCAATCATTTATCGTAGGTACTGAAAGAGCTATCTTTATAATGAGATCAATGAAACATCTTTGTATAAGCTTATTAAAATAATGAAATATTTAAATATCAACGGCAAAGCGTCAAGTGGCGACAACTATCAAGGTCACGGGCTCCGATTGAGTAAGAAACTTAAGATCCGTATCCGTATCCGTATCCGCGGATCTTGACACCAAATATCCGTATTCGGATCCGTATCCGCGGATATACTTTGTTAACGATCCGGCACATCACTACTGCAGAATAGTAAACTACGGTCCGTGTGGTGACGGATTAAGAATACAAAGTGTCACCACCAGTGAGGGAGCAAACTACGCAGGAAAACAACACTGCAAAGAAAAGGAAAACTTGAAACAAACCCTATACCAATCCGTCTGGTCAGTGTTTTATAGTAGGCTAAAACCTCGTTTCTAAGAAGAGGCCTTAGTCCAGCAGTGGAATGTTAGAGGCTGTTGATGACTGCAGAATAGTAAAGAAAAAAAATCTATGCTTTACGTATGGGTGAGGTACCATAACAATAGTTTTTATACATTTATTTATTTAGGACACAAACACACACTAATACATGGTTTACAAACATGTTTTACAATGGTGTGTTGAGTGTTGTTTTACTTACAAGTTGCCACGACATAGTAAGGGACAGTTTCATCTAAGATTATACACAGTCATATACAGGTACAAGACATACAAAACATCATCGAGATTACAAGACATAGTGATACATTTATTCTTAAGCTACAGGTCTAAATAATGCAATAACTTTGCTTACAAAACTAACTGTACTCGGCATGCATTGCTATGCCACGTAAAGTGTAAAGAAATAACGAAAAACTAATATTTCTTTTTGCATTCTTAGGCTGCTAACAAACGCGGTCGTGCCTAGAACACACTGCCAAAGTTAAATCACAATCTGATGTTCAGTTGTTTCGAAATGCATAAAAGACAAACATAGAAACATTGATTTTTATTTAAATAGATTGATATGTAAATGTATATTTATCACGACGAGATAGTATCTCATCATTATCAACAGCTGTTAACAGTCCACTGCTGACATAGGCCTCGCCTTGAAAAAAAGACACAAACCCGTTTGGCCTACCACGCAGGCCAGACGGGTTTGTGTCTATTTTCCTTCTCTTTGCAGTACTGTTGTCCTGCATAGTTTACTCCTTAAGTTGGCTCATACGACACCTATGGGCTCAATAGGGGTGGTAACACTACGTATTCTTAATCCATCACCACACGGAATGATAGTATGTGATAAGGAGCAAATTATAATTAGCAAAATGAGTGTTTAAACTGATACACCTAGTAAACATAGGTGTATCAGTTTAAACACACCCTTCGAGGATGTTATTGTGGGTTCATGTTAGCATGATGCAAATCTTACATGTTGTTTCACCATGAGTCTGCTTTCATGGTATCATACTATATTACCATAGAGGCTAGAGAATTATAATATCATATGATAAATCACAAAATCGTTTCGGGGCAAATAATAAAATAATCTATAGTCTAAATGTTACCATACTATATTAAAAAAACCTTGAAAAGTTGAACCTTCAAAATGAGCTGCATTTTTTATTCCTTTTATTAATAATCCTAAATTACAGACCGACAGACGGACTACAAAGTGATCCTATAAGGGTTCCGTTTTTCCTTTTAAAGTCTTTAAAATTACTTTAATATTGCTAATTTCTATCACTTACTGATTTGCCTGGTGACTGCTGGTTCTCTTCTCGCTGACCTCAAACTGATGAACCTGTCGTAATCCTTCCCATTCAAAGGCTTATACCGGTCATCATGATATACTTTATCACTGTAAAACTTGAAGAATTCGTCGACGTTCTCCTGTTGAGAATAATTCTTCTTCGCTAGTAATGTCACCGATCTTATTTCAAACAACTTCTTTGCTAATTCTCCGTTCTTCTTTCCCAATTTCACCGTCGCAAACATTTTTACTTTATAGTAACCGTCAATTTAATATTTTTTTAAATTTACAATTAGGTTATTAAAAAACCGTCGTTAGTTCGTCAGCGTCTGTGACGGAATAACCAAATTAGTGTACTTTTAAGATGTCAAGATTATTTAAAATTAATGATAAGGACGGAATTTTGTGATTACGTGATAAAGTTTACTAATATTGGTACAGTCAGTATGTAAATAATATACAATATTACAGTACACGACGCGATTATGAAAAAGGCAACCACTGAATGTAAATTGGAGCACAGTAGTTACATAAAAATACGTAAGTATATTAACGGCTTGATATAATAGGGTTGACCCTAAGTCACGAACAATATAAAAATGCTGTAAAAAGCGTTTTGAAAAAAACTTTACAGTATTTTATAGATTGTGATCAGAACCGCATTCAATTCAAAAATAGAAATACTAATAATATTTCCGGACATCTGACACAACGCCATCTAGTTTCAAACTAAGCAGATAAAATACTTAAATACTAAAATAATAGTATATTTTTATGTATGTATTTTTTTAATGTTTTTTCTATGTCTAGTGGTAAAACCAATAGACGGGTCTACTTAAGGTAAGTGATTACCACCGTCCATGGGCACCAGTTACTTAAGAGTCACAAATGCGTTGCCAAGTGCCCCCCAGAATCAGGAGGAGAGTTGGTTTGGGTTCAGGAGACCTCTATCATTCAATTAACGCAACAAAATACTTGCTTAAAAAAATGCAAAATATTTGTAATATCTCAGAGTTTAAAAACGAAATTATCAAAACAATTTTATAGTAACATTAACCATATCACAAATATATTTCGGACATCTGACACACAACGCCATCTAGTTTCAAACTAAGTAGAGCATGTTCCTACTATCACGCTATGCAAGCTAGATTGTCTGTTAGAATACTCATATACTTTTTTTGTAAACACATACGTTGTAAGTACAACCTGAGTTCATGCAAAGTTTTTAAAAATAAAAAAGTAAAGTAAAGGAAAGTTTTTCTCATTAAGAATCCCTTTCTACATAGTTAAATATTTGTTTTTCTTGTTGTGTGATAGCTCTAATGTCAAAAATTATTAATTTTATTATTACTATTATATTTATTTAATTATTAAGGCATATTTACAGAATAAACACAAACATTCATATACATTAATTGTTTTAAACTAAGTGCACGTGCTACTCTAAAACAAATTTGCACAGCATTCGCATATCTTTTATATCAATAAAAATGAATCGCCGAAATGTATGTACGCGCATAACTTCTAAAGGAATGAAAAAAATTAGATACTTCTTTTTGTTTTGTGTTCATTATTATCAGGACAAGGTTTGTATAAAATAAAATTAAAAAAAATACGAATTCATTTAAAAAAATCTCATTATTTGAAAAGTGGGTAGGTGAATGAGACAGATGACTGTAAGAGATCTTCTATATATTAACAAAACATTACTGTCGAGCCACAACCAACGATGCCACCTGAACTTCGATCAATAATAGTACATTGTTGATCGAAGCACCTGAACCATTAAATTCTTTACTTTCAGTTCAAGAACCTCTACTAAAGCCGGCGAACATTATAAATTACAATAGCGCGTTCCAAGTGACATCATTTAGTGCAAATATAATTGAAGAGCATGATCTCCCCCAAAGTAGTCTCACAAATCAAAAAACGATCCCGTAGGCAATTGCTTATGATATTTATAAAGGCTACTAACTACGAAGACACCTAATCTCTGAAGCGCTTCAACAATGTCCGTCCACTTTTTAAACCGCTAGGTCTACAAGCATAAAATTTTGCACAAATATTTTTTAGATGACGGAAGTGTGCACTAAGAAAGGATTTTTAAAAATTCCACCCCTAGGGGTGTAAAATGTTGGTTTAAAATTTAAATGAAACTTCGTTATTTTTGATAGTAGCGTTTTTTAACTCACAGTAAATACTCTTCATAAAGTGTTAAAAAAAAACGTTGTTATTGATTTTTCAAAACTACCTTTAAAAAGGAATGCAAGTTTTTATGGAGAATATACTTATAATCTTGATTCCTTGTATCCACTACGATGTTTGTTGTCGACCACCACGCGGACGAAGTCGCGGACAACGGCTAGTATTATAGTAAAACTGTAGCAAATTTAACCAAACCAAAACACACACAAACAGTGTACTACATTATGCATATCATTAATTTCTTTATTACCTATATTTATTACTCAAGTTCATTTGCAACTGATAGTGTCAACCTTATAATATCGTCTACGTGTTTTTATACACAACATTATAATTATAATTTTGTTTTTCGTGAAATTAGCATTTCAAATGTTAAAGTTTTTTCGTGGTTACGTCAAATGAGTTTCGTTACTTATGATTATTTTATGGTTTAAGATCTTTATTTTCTCATAAGAATTACAATGATTCATTTACTGAGAAACAATATTCACAAGATAAACTTAAGTGTACAAAAACAAAATTATTTATTACTAACTTAAAAGTAAACAAACAAAATTTGAAACTCAAAATGCCAAAACATTTCACCCCGTCCCAATCTTTTACTCTGCAAGCAGTAAGACTCTGGAACAACTTGCCTGAAACAATCCGACAAGCTAAAACCTTGCCTATTTTTAGATTAATTTTATAATATATTCTAAACATGTATGTGTATGTATCGTTGCGCCATAGGATTAAATGGTTCGATTGTATGAAATGTGGAGGACAGCGCCATCTAGTATCGACCAAGTACATCTATTAAGATTGTGGTTAATACGAGTACTCGTAGTTCTTTACAGCGCTACATAGCGCTGCAAGTAATGCGTAACTGTTTCTGGAATTTTCGTGTTTGTTTGGAACGGACTGTCGAAAGCTAAGAACTTTCTAGTAAAATTCAAAAGCGCAATAAAAGCGAAGCGTGTTGGCCGTTCGACATGGTTTCGTTTTACGACACAGCGAATTAACATCGGAGTGAATTTCTAGTGCGACTAACAAGATATATAGTGATTCCTAGTAGTGAGTGTTTGTAAATAAAGTGAAATAAAGTAAATCACCGACAACTTTTATTATTTATTTACCCAGCTTGTAACAGTATGTAGGTATATGTATTTGTATAAGTGTAATGTGCATAGATGTATATTTGTATATCAATGTCTTTGTTGATATTTTTATATATTCACATGCTTGACAATACTACGTACATTAGTATAAAAGAATTTTAGTGATTCTTTAGTGAAAGCCAGGTCTTCGTAATTAATAATAATTTGGTATATTTTCTCTGTATTCGTAATTGAAATTAAATTGTCTATAGATTTTATTATTTTCGGGGTGCGGATGCTGAGATCAGTTTCGCCGTTAGCTGTCCGTTTCTGTAGATTTTCTTTTAGGTCATGCAAGTACTTCTGATCGGAATAAAGTTCGATGGAATCCGTATGAAGGGTATTTTTATTTCGCAAAATTGTTTTAGCAGTCTCTTTGGATGAGTAACATATTTTAATTGGTCGCGTAGTCTCCGGCTTATATTTTCCGAGACGAAAGATTTTATCTGGTTGGAGACAGTCTTTATGTATCAGGTATATTATTTTTGTAACTTCTTTATTTTCATATTCTTGTCGTTCATGTGTTGAGTTCGATTTGCACTCGGGGATTCCAATTATTATAATATTTTTAGCACGCACTTTCCTTTCGCGAATTGCTTTTATAATTTCTTCGTCATACACATTATTCATATCCTTTCACTATTATACAATATTCTCTTTAATACCAACACGGGGAGTGTTGGGATTAAAGAGAATATTGAAAAGAACGCGTCAGTGTCCTACGTGATACGCATTCAAAGTCCTTAAAATCATCAGAGAGCTTGACTTTGGAAATGCCGAAGCACACCACGATTTTTATGGACTAATCATTTACAGTGCATTCCATACGCTTGTGGAATGCATTGCCACTGCCCATCACCAAAACATTGCTTAGTTTTAAAAAATTGCTCAAGGAGCATTTCCAAAATTGCTGAGCGAAGGTTCGCTCAGTCTGGAATCTTGTGTTTATCTGTCTCTTATTTCTGTAGTCTCCTTTCAATGTATATTTTGTAAATGTTTTTTAGTGTTTATATATTTAAATAAGTTTGTATAGTCCAATAGTCTTCAGTCTTAATTTACAAAATACTTAGAAAACGCCGATCTACAAATTGCAGCTTCCCATCTCATTCCTATTCTCATTTTCCATCCAGTGGTTGCCTGGAAGAGATCGCAAATCGCGATAGGGTAGCCAATTGTACAATTGGCGGCGACTTTTGATATTTTACTGTCTAAGGTTTTTTTTAATATAACTTAACTATGTTTTTATTGTACAATAAAGAGTTATCTATCTACTTGTGCTTGATCTGATGTTGCTGGTTTGAGTTTAAGGTTATTAACATCGCCCTTTAACATTTTTATTTGTTCTTCAGTGGTTTCTGTCATAGTCTTAAGGTAGTTATTTCGGCTTTTCAATATTTGTTTTCTGAAATAATGCTTTCGATAGTACTACTAACAATTCCGACCTCATTCTTTATATTAGCAACATCTTGACAGAGTTTATTGATGTTTGACGACCGGATGGCGTAGTGGTTTGTGTAACGGACTGCTATTCCAAAGGTCGCGGGTTCGATTCCCACTCAAGTCAAACATTTGTGTGCATGAACATTTAACGTTTGATTTGGTCTGGGTGTTTCTATGTATAATATGTATGTATTTAGAAAAAAAAGTATATTTGTATTTATATCAGTTGTCAGAACAAGCTCTACTTAGTTTGGGATTAGATCGCATTGTGTGAATGTGGTAAAAAAAATATGTTGCCTCTTTGGTCATTGTTAGAGAACGTTAAAATTGCCATCATATCGTACATTTGCTTTCGCAGCTCGGATAACTCATTTATAACCTCTTACGCTTGCTACGAAAATTAATTTGCGAAACATCGTTTGTGTGTAAGCGGAGCCACTTCCAGTTGGTGAGCCTAGGCAATTCATTGTATATGTGTGCGTGCCATGCAGTGTGCTCGTCTCCAGTACCAAAAGGAGTCAAGAGGGCAGCACCGAGGCCTGCGCGGTATGCTCTGAATGCTTTCGTCGCAACTGCTCCGATGCAGCAAAATGTTGCTTTCGCAAAAAAGTCGCAACTGATGCCTTTTTTTATTTTTTTTTTTTTTCCGTGCGGAAATCCCCTCGGATACCAACTGTCGGTGGCATGTCGGACTCGAACCGACTAAAACCGCACGCCGTCTCGGGTACTAATAGCCGGGGAACCAGGTATACCCTAGAAAGGAAGTCCCAGGTACCCCGACATACCTCGGGTCATCTACAGACGAGTAGACGACCCGTGTGGGAACCCCATGTTCCCGGTGCTCCCTGGAAGCGAGCGCGCTTCGCGACGCGCTTGCCGCCACCCCGGCCTGCTTCTGCTAGGGTGACAGATGGCCTCACCTGTCACCCCCAGGCCTGCGTTTATGGAGGACGGAGGTCGTTCTGCGACCTCCGGCGCCTGAGTCGCCTGCGGTACCTGGCCCGTTCCCGGGCCTGGCGGGCCGGGAGAGTTCTAAACCTCTCCCGGTCCCGCTCCGCCGTCTCCTTCGCGAGCATAACTTGCTCGCAGAAGGAGACGGCAGAGTTCCACGCACTCTCGCTCCGCACGATAGCCGCAATCAGGCTATCGAGCGAGAGAACTCCCACTCCGATGGCCGCCACGAGGTCTCGCCTCTGCTCAACCCACGCCGGGCACTCTGCCAGCGTGTGGAGAGCCGTGTCCACGGTCTGGCCATCGCAGTGGTGGCACTCAGGCGTTGGCTCCTTGCGGATCAGACACAGGTGATCTCCGAAACATCCCTTCCCAGTGATCACCTGCGTCAATCGGTATGAGAGGGTCCCGTGACGCCTCTCGAGCCAATCCTCCATAACGGGTCTTACCGCCGCGATGACGGCGTGCCCGGCGCTCGGTTGCCCGAGTCGTTCCCTCCACTCCCCTATGATGACCTGGCGGAGTTGGAATTTCCGGTCATCGATTTCTCGAATCTCGGGGCATCGACCCAACTCCCGCGCCTCCTTGCGCCACTGATACAGAGCCGCAAGGGCTCTCGCCTCCAGGTCCCACGGTGGAGTTCCGGCCAGGAGACTCGCCGCCTCAAAGGAGATCGTGCGGTACCCCCTTATGATCCTGATGGCCAGCACTCGCTGCGGTCGTCGCAGTATCGCGACGCGCAACTGATGCCTGCGAGCGTGGCGGAACATGTTATGTTTACTTCGCACGCTGATTTTTATCTTTTATGTAAACAATAAAGACTGTTATCTATCATTTGTTAAAGTAAATTGGGCAATTAAAATGAAATCATGTCAAAAAGATAAAAAACAACCGTAAATTTCGAAAATGTGTCTACTGAAGCGTGGAAACTCCTATAAATAAAATAGCAAATAGCTAAAGCCATTTGAAAAGATTACCATTACCAAATTTTATAATTTTTGAACTTATTCCAAGTTTCTCTTCCGAGGCTGTGTGCTGTCTTCGCTCAGTGTGATAATTGATGTATTTCCTGCTATATAAATTTTAATAAAAAATACAAACACATTAACAAGCCGGCGAGTCTCCGCTATTTGCCGACTATTTGCTGACTAGTTGCCGACTACAATAATCAGTACATCTCTATTTATAAGTGAAAAATGTAGTTTATTAAAATTCATCATTATGTAGGCGCAATGAAGTCAGTTAAATATATTTCTAAATTATTTATTAATATGTAACATAATGAAATGTGTAACAATCGCGATTTAACTGTGAAGTAACTACATTACTGTTGAATTGCGTCTGAGTAACACACGTCACACATTCTACTTAACGGTCAGTTGACTTGTATGTAGAATGAGTGGTTTTGATACTTTTTGTTAAAAATATTTTTTTTTATTCTATACCATCTGTTGTCCGTGGCTCCGCCTGCGTGTATATCGATTACTAAGGTAGCCTATGTCCTTCTTTAAGAATCAATCTCCATACCAAATTTCGCCTGAATCGATTCAGCGGTTATTGATTCCCTATACAAATTAGTCGTATCACTTCGGTGGAGCCAGTCCATGTGTTGAAAAAACGTGACGTCATAGTTTGGTGTCAAACTTGACCCTATACATAGATGTGCTAGGATTTTTTTTTTTTAAATTAAAAGTGATATTAAAAAAGCAGCTTTTTATTTTGTTGTAAAACTAATAAGAATTGATTTATTTGTCATTTGTACATGTAATCAGAGTTGAATGTATGAACTTGACCTATTGTCATTGAAGTAAAAAAGAAAAACAAAGCCAGCGATTAGACACTCATGATCACGTGTCATATCAAACAGCATTTTTATAGTATATTGGGCAAACGTATATTGAGCAGATGGGTAACCCCCATGGGTTACCATTCTTCTCGTTTGCACTGCACCTACACGGGGTTACTTACATCATAATTTTTGATTTTTGTTGTTTCTCGGTGTTGACTTCTCGCTGCCAGACGGTGTGGCCGTCACACTCGAGCCCGGGAACAGTCTGTGGTGTTAATGTAATATCTTTAAATTCGTAGCTATGTTGTTGTAGTTATTTATACTACTAATTTGGCAAATAATTAAAGCAGTTTTCGTTTGTAAATGAATCAGTACTTTAGCGTGGCAGAAATCGCATGAATGAAAGTTAGTTCGTATGTTAATTTCTGTAACAGATGGGGATAAAATGTAGTTCATAGGTTGTGTTGAATTAACACATAGACATACACGAATTAGATATCTCAGCAGCTAGCCGAGAGCTAGCATTGTAATAAAGCCGAGACAACATATCTCAAGATGTATTGTAGGCTTAGACTTATTTGTTATTTGTTGTGTTGTTATTAAGACCAGTTTTTTTCTAAAACCATCCATACTATATATATATATATATATATATAACCATAGATTTGGTTTGCGGAGTGCATTACGGAGATAGTCTGATTCTTAAGAATAGAGATAGGCCGATAACTGATATACACGCGGGCGGAATTGCGGGCACAAGCAAAGGATTTTTTTTTACCTCATTCACACAACGCCATCTAGTCCTAAACTATGGGTACTAGAGAACTGATATAAATACTTTTTTTTTCTTGAAAAATCACATATGTTATACAAACACCCAGACTAAATAAAACATTAAATGTTCATGCACACAAATGTTTGACTTAAAGAGAATACAAAGGATTACCTCATGATTTTCTTGTACCGATCGTACATTTCGTCCACGGGCTCTACTTGTGAAGGTTCGTACATTTTGAGAGCTAAGTATGGAGCCCCTATGGTCACCGCATTCAACATCTGCAAAATCAATAGTAACTTTGTCATCAATTATAACTTAAATAATATTATTATCAGCGTTCGGAACCCACTAAATTCCGAACGATGATCGACAGTTTACAATTATGTTTCTGTTACCATACCCAACATCTGAGTAAGACTTTCATAAGACGCTTACCATTCCTTTGTTAGCTTCGATTTCAGCCAATTTTCGGTTCAGATCGTTCTTGAGTCCTTGCATCAGTACAAAGTCTTTCTCTAGTATCCCTTGAAGACCTAGGATAAAATAAAATGTTGATAAATGTATTAGAATCGGTTCGTACTTCCCGACTACAGATAGATCAAGATATGGGTGAGAGGTCCTCCACTACTTGAGCTAAGTATTGTGTAAAGGTAATCACTAATCCGTCTGTATAAGCATACCCCTTTTGTACATTACCTTCCCTTGTTGCCTTCCTTCCCCCTTCAATATAATCGTATTATTTTGCTCCTTTGAGTGATAAAAATCCTGAGTGACTAAAATCCTAAGCGACTAAAATCCCGAGTGACTAAAAGCGTGAGTAAACATAATGCCTAGTGACCATAATCCCGAGTGAATTTAACTTAAATCGGGTTAAAATTTTACTAGGCAAAATGTGACACGAGTCGAGGATATAGGTGTATGTGTACATTCCTTCTGCGCGCAAGTTATGCTCGCGAAGGAGACGGCGGAGCGGGACCGGGAGAGGTTTAGGACTCTCCCGGCCCGCCAGGCCCGGGAACGGGCTAGGTACCGCAGGCGACTCAGGCGCCGGAGGTCGCAGAACGACCTCCGTCCTCCATAAGCGCAGGCCTGGGGGTGACAGATGAGGCCATCTGTCACCCTAGCAGAAGCAGGCCGGGGTGGCGGCGAGCGCGTTGCGAAGCGCGCTCGCTTCCAGGGAGCACAGGGAACATGGGGTTCCCACACGGGAGGGGGGGGTCTACTCGTCTGTAGATGACCCGAGGTATTTCGGGGCACCAGGGACTTCCTTTCTAGGGTATACCTGGTTCTCCGGCTATTAGTACCCGAGACGGCGTGCGGTTTTAGTCGGTTCGAGTCCGACATGCCACCGACAGGTGGTATCCGAGGGGATTTCCGCACGGAAAAAAAAAAGAAAAAAAAAGGTGTATGTGTACATACATATAATATTCAATTTATTTACTTTGTGTCCTTAGGGTGATGTACAGAAAAATAGCAGGTCCATACTATGTTCCGCCGTTAGGCAACAACATCATAGGCAAACATCAACACCATGGATTAAACGGCAATATCGAAAAAAAAAACACATTTTAACTTTATCTGACCAATATAACTCTTTTTTACCAGCATTTTCTAACAAAGTCTCCAGGTCTGTCTGCGGTAGCTCCGCAGTTGACGGCGACAGCAGGAGCGGAGTTGCAGTTGGTACAAAAGACCGCACTGGTCGAGTTGCTGCTGCAAGTGATGATGATTCTAAAAACAAAATTAGTACAAGTTTGTTATTAGAGACCTCCCGTCTAGTCTGCGAGTTCGAAAAATTCTTCAATTAGTGCGAGCTACAGCTTTGCGAAGACAAGTGGGTTGTAAATTAGCCCCCACTGCCTATTGTTATAAATCCGAAAGTAACTCTGTCTGTCTGGTACAATGTCACGGATAAACTGCTGAACCGATTAAAATAACTTTAGCATGGAGATACTTTGATTTTTGAAGAAAGCCTTTTTACGGCTATAACCTACCTATAAGCTACCTTGTAATATACTACCACTACTGATTTTCCGAACTCTAATGCCCAGATTATCATAGTTGGCTATGAGGGTTTCTAATACTGCTGCACCCACCTTTCGAGAAATACAAGTGTAAATGTGTTACAATGGAAAATCGCTCTCAACTTTACAGACTTCATCCAAGAGTTCTAATAAATAATTCTTGGCATTCTTACCTTCTCCATCACTCCCATCATCAACACTCTCATGCAGGTCCCAGGTTGAGGGTCTCCTAGCCCTCAGAGTATCAGCAGGAGGTCCTAAGACATCCCCTTGTATTTTACTTATAGCGATAGTATAGACGTAATCACAGCAGGTAAACAGAAGTTCAGCGCGATTATAGCGGGTGTATTCACTGTAAGAAATGTAAAATTATCTTCATAGCCCAGGACATAGTGTATTTTATTTTATAAATTTCAAATATAGCTTTATTTCAGAAGGCTATCAAAGGTAAAGTGAAGTTCTTTGCCAAACCTAATACTCACGTCTCTTCCTCCATCCTCCGCTTGGTCTCCAAATCAGTCTGATTTAACTGCAGCATCAGTCCTCCTGTGGAACCTTGGTACACGCTGGATGCGCGCCGAGACATCGGAAAGTCAGTCATCCCTGATATTGAATCCTCTTGTTCTTTTCTAATTGGACCTGGAGTGTATTAAAGGTAAGTAGAGAGAATTATAAAGACAGACATTAAAAAAAAGTGGATATGTGAATCGCCTCCACATTAAGCAGGTAACTTGATTGCAAAGTTAGTGCTTTGCCACCATCAGAAAAACCGCCAATCTGAACTCAGACTCCGGCAATGAGTTGACTACAGAATATTATTTTATTATTATTACTTCTGATTGAATTGGTCGAGATTCTAAGACGTATCTATTTCGCCTTAAGTTATCCATGTCATACTTTATGTTTCGAATATTACCTTACAATGATAACTTATAATAATGAGTCTGGTTATAGGCATATAGAGTTACATTCAGAAACAGATAATCTCTAAGATCGAGTTAACAGTCAGACGATACTTACCAGAATATATACAGCATGCGCCAAATTCCACCTTCTTCCCCAGAATACCAAGAAACGGAAATTTGATTTTTATGCTTTGCAGCAGACACTCTTCGTAGATGTCCCAAATATGCACCGTCTGACCATATAAATGTTTTTAAAAACAACCCTTTCTTTCTAAATACATTTTTACATGAGAAATTTTCTGCAGCTTACGTTGAATTGTTGGAGAATCTTTCTACCATTGAGATTTTTTTAGAGGGGTCGGCAAGTAGACTACTATTTTTTAAATACTTAGGTTAATTAATCCTTATCCAGAAAGACCTATGTCTTAGCGTTCCATGGGGGTGCCGTGTACCGTGCGAGTGCCGGGACCATTGCGTGATAGATGGGGGCAACACATGCGACTTCTACAGCGCCTGGGACTTGCGACCCAGGTATAGTTTTAGGGAGTTCTCGTAAGCGCTCACCTCCACTGCCTGCTGTGTTACCCCCTCTACCTAAAAATATTTGATACGAACCTAGCAATGCCGCTGTGGATATTCGTTCAAGAAAATAGCTTACTGAAGCTCTTGGCAATCCAAGGTCTTTAAGCAGGTTATAGAGGGCTTAGCTGATATACCCTTCGCACCCATTTCCACGGCGTACAACGCAACGACATAACCATTTTTAGTTATTTCGTTGGTTAAGTCAAAGTACTTGTTTTTTGTTAAAGCGTGGTCTTTAGGATGTTCGTTTCCCACGGCACCGTGAGTTCTACTATAGTTAAACCGCCGTAAGCTTGGCCCTCCTGATAGGCGGGGGCGCATTCAACCAATTAGCTAGTGCGTCGCTGTCCGTCGGCAGTGACTGACGTGAAAGTATGGCTGTACGTGTTATTTTTCTTAAGACTGCTACACACGGTATTATTTTGCAACATGGATAATCTGGATAATCGCAAACCATCAGGAGGGCCAAGCTTACGGCGGTTTAACTATAGTACTACACTCTTAATTGAAATTGCATAAAAAATATGTCTGGTCTGGACGCCGAAGCACAGATATCCTCCGGTATTCTGAAATGATTTTCATACTTGTCCACTAATAATGTTCAGTCACTGGCGGTATTTATAATTGATTGAGATTGAGTCTTTTTTGTTAAGCCTTCCTTTACAAACGCGATGTTAGTTCTTATGTTTGTTGTTATTCCTTTTTTCGCTCTCTAGTTCTGCTAGTTTATCGCATCTCAATTTCAATAAATTAAGGCTTAGCTCATCCATAGTTTTTGAAACGAATTCTTTTCATTTAGGCTTCTAATAAGTGTGTGAGAGAACCAAGTTCAAACCAAAAGTAAGGGTAATGAGACCTTTTTATGGGTATTCGTGGTACATACTTATCAATTAGCCTACGAATGATTTCGTAGACTTCAAGATTATTATCTAGGGAAGAATTCAAGTCCAATACGCTTTGCCAGTCTACATTATCAAGTTAGCTAGTTAGTTATAAACTTACACAATTATTGCAGTACGCAATAAGTATCTCCTGTGCAGCAACGATGACTAGATCAAGAATGGCGGTGCTGTTGGGTGTGGGGAGTGTGGCGAAGGCTGCGCGAGTACCCGGCTGCCAGAGGCGGACGGAGCCGTCGATCCCACCAGCTGCCACCATATGGAGAGATGGAATTGTGTGGAAGCAGGTCACTCCCTAATGATATTAATGGTTGTCAATAACATTAAGTCCGCCTTTCAGTTCAGTACATTTCAGTATAGCACAGTGAGGGGCAGAACAGAGTATTATACATTAAAGGTGTATATTTAACGGTTTGTATGAATTTTGAATGTATCAATTAGTAATGTACTCGTACCATTTCTTAATAAATTTTTTATACTATTTTTATAATAAAATACTCTTGTTAAACACTAAACTTAAGCGGCTAAGAGTGTTGTTCACGTAAAATTCAATTCAAAAATATTTTTTCATCATCCCACAGATTTGGTTGAACAGGTTGCTTTTTCAAATGTTAATTTATTAAAATGTGTGTAAAAATCTAAAACCAGAGTATGGTCTCTACCATACAGAGATTACTTTTTTTGAGAGTAGTTCGTTTTGAAACACGAGAGGGATCAGAGCTTCAGATCGGCGATCATCAGATGCATATTTTTAATCTACATAAATAAAAAAAAACTGAATCTAAAGAAAATCTTAAATCATAGAAATAAATTATAAAAAGCAAAAATTCTGATACTTTATGGATTCGTTTTACATTTTTAAAAAACGATTTATTTGATGATGATTGAAAATGATTTGTAATAATTGAGGATTTCACTTTTAATATACCACCAGCATAAACAGTATGCAGTACGCAACAAGTAATTCGTTACTCACTCTCAAAACCTTAAACACGTAATCGTCCATCAGCCCTGGCATGTGCCTTAACCGTACACTGGCGACTGCATCATGAGAGCAGGACAGCAACCAATGATCCATATATCGCAGTCTGCGAACTGATCGGGCATGCACGCGCTTCCACTGAGTTATAGTGCAGTGTGAACTATGTGGGGGGCTTGATAACTCCTGAAATAATAGGAGCTGGTGGTAGAGAGCAGAGTAAAAAAGATATCACTGAAAGAAGCTGTTAACCCATGTAACCGCTCTTCCTGGTCAGCTAGAGCGCATATTACTGACATAAACTTCAAAACACCTTCAGTTCTGAAAAATGCGAAACAGAAGAGAAAAGAGATTAGTAGAACCCACTACATTGAAAATATAGAGATAGGTTTTCAAAGTTCTGTGAGGAATATCTCAGTTTTTAAACCAGACAACCAAACTCTTTCATGACTGTGATCGATTCAGATTCATTCATTCAATCAGGATTATTCTTGGCCATTGCCATTATTCTGGTATAGGTTATATTTTAATCTTTTCTCTATCATTATTTAATAATGAATTCTGAGAAGGCATTGTTTTCCCGCTCCTTTCCGCATCTTTGTTCTCTATTTTTCTGTCATAACCTTCTTCTTTTGTTCTTCATACCATGACATTTGACTCATATTTCACTTCATAACGAAACCATAAAATGATATGTTGAAGAAACACAACAAAGCAATTTTACTAAGGAGCCCTCTCCTTAGTAAAATTGCTTTGTAGGACTTTGTAGCAGTCATTAAGGTTATATCTTCAATTAGAAGAAGTGTTACTCGTATACCCTAGCTGTTATAAACATCGGTTACTTACAAAACATAACTGTTCTACTTACCATCCAGAAATAATAATTGATGTGACCAGTAGTGTTTAAGTGCATAAACTGGATTCTCGGCTGCAAGAACTTTATTCTTATGATATCCCCTCGCTCGGTGCCCAGAGCTAGTTCAGACGTATCACTTATGGAAACTGATGGGTAATACGCCATACACTAAAAAATAATAATGTTTATTATTAGCACAGTGAATAACTTGCCAAATGTTGAAGATTCGCCTTAAGAATCGATTTTCATATAAGGAGATATTAACATGAAGAGTCAAATTTAGTGATCAAATGCTTTCTTCTTGCGCACCTTTCATATGTATGTGTATAACTTGTATACTTCTTATGAACTTGGAGCTGACACACACACACTTTTTTTCTTTTTGTAGTGGGAATAGTCAGTAACTACCGCCGCCTATGAACACCCGCAACTCATGAGGCAAAGGTGTACCGCCGCCTTTTCGGTCCTCCCCCCAGAATCAGGGAGTGGAGAGGTTTGCGCTCCTGTAATCTCACTCACTTGGGAAAAAGCTACGAAAGGATTGGTTATCACCAAATATTATTTGGGATTAGGAAAACAGAAGGAGGAAGAGAAGGAGCTGCTGCTATCCTGCTCATCCCGCATTTTTATTATATAACTCACCATAGGTATGTTAGGTAGTCCGGTTATACAAATCAGTGGGTTATGTGATAGTGTGGTTGCATCATATATTGTCAGGCTGCGATCTGATGCAGATAACACTAGATATTGCACGTCCTGGAAGTAAAATAAAAAAGTATTTCAGAGTTTATGACTTGAGAACACTATTCTTGAGACATTTTAAAGTAATTGAGTACTGTAAAACAGTATCCCAATACTTAAAGTATTTGTAAATGTCTGTATTCTCGGGTTACAAGAAATACTCTTGTAAAACCCTCAAGATGTACTAAAGGGGTTAGAAGCGTTGAGCAAATTCAAAATCTTTATTTCAAAAAGATACATAAGAATGATTAGAAACAAACAAACAAATACGAGTATGCTTGGAAATTGTAGACTATTCCATAGAGTCATCGCAACAATAGGTTGCTTGGTCGATTCTGAAATTATCAGATTGTTAGTAGTAACCTGGTAGTAAAACCTCCTTTCTAAGGAGAGGCCTATGTCCAGCAGTGGACTAGTATAGGCTGTTGATGTGATGATGTGGTAGTAAAATATTATCAAAATCGGTCCTGCCGTTTGAAGATTATCCGGTACAAATAGAAAGACAGACAAAAAATACTTAAACTGGTTTTTAGGCATAGGGATCGTGCAAATAACCGTGTGAGCATGAAAAAAAAACAATATTCATTCCAAACAAAAAAATATCATTCATCATTAAAAAAATATGAGACCAAAAATAACCTCCTCTTTTTTGTTGTCGGTTAAGAATCATAATACGAAAAAAAAACAGTTTACTAAACAGAAAATCATTTACAAACCAAAACCATCGATAACTATAATATTCAATTCAAATAAGATTGGCTACATCACTATCGGTAGGTACCAAACATGAAATGTGACTTTACCAAATACTTTCATGCAAAATGTATTGATATATTCCTGCACAAAATGCAGTTCATTGCGTGCTCTCGTGGTTACAATGTAGTTAGTACTCAAATATGATACGCAATGTATGATTGCTTTAACAGATTAGATCATAACGGTTTTCTATCTTGTATTACATAATACTTTGTGAATTTTTGTTAATGTTACTTAAAAACAAACATTTTTAGACCTACCGATGATATCATATGTTGTCTTTGAACAAATTCCAGTCCTGGCTTCGTTTCCGACACGCAATTATCACGCAATTATCGCGCGTACGAATGTTTTCAAAGATTTATGCACGATTGCTCGTAACTCCGGAGCGCCTGCCCCGCCTACATCGCATTTCTAGTTTATTCACTATTCTGTGTCACAAACAGACACCTCATTTTTGGAACAAGGTTCCTTATCGCGCGTTGTGAAAGGGGGCTAGACGGAAAAAAATTCCCACGAAAAGTTGTAACGACACTTTTTATTTTGAATTGTCACTTGTCAGTCATTCAGCGCCATCTATCGAATAGATAGGAAATCATTACTTTTCATCTCAGTAAAATTAAAATTTATGTTCTTAGGTTGAGCAAAAAATATTGTATTCGACATCATTTCTCAAGGAGATTTTACCAATGCATAAATTGTTTTAATTAGAAACCAACTGAAAAATATGTAGGTAATAGCCGCTTTCATAGATGGCGTTGTAATTAAAATCGTGTCGAATCAGTTTTACTCGATCGTCACAACTTCGTTCCTATCGGGTGTCCCACGACACCACACGGCTTTTTTTTATTTGTACATTGGTATATAGATTTATAACCGCCTGTTTTATATTACATATATGGAGATTGCTGCATTTCTTTTTTTAGCTCACGGGGTATTAAACTTTCAAAAGATCAACATGAGATTCAGATCGTGAGCTTTAGAAAAAGAAAAATGAAAAAAAAAATAATAATAAGGCGGATCAAAGGAGGGAGGGAGGCAAAATATTTACTTTTGTAAGAAATTATTTTGATTACTCAAAGATTGGACAGGTTGTTATTTACCTGCAAGAAAATCACATCCGTGACCCATCTATTTTTCACGCGGCTTCTGGTTCCACTTCTGTGGTAAAACATCTGAAATATCACAAAATTTCCTTCAATTATACGTTTTTCGCAATGGGAAACGTCTATGTCCAGCAGTGGACTTCGATAGGCTGATAATGATGATACGTTTGTTAACAAAAGGTTTCTAGTAAAGACTACATGTAGTGTCCGTGTCCGTGTAGTGACGGATTAAGAATACGGATTGTCACTACTCCAATTCATGGGTGGTAAGAGCCGACTAAGGGCGCAGAACAACGGAGGACACCAGCACCGCAAAAAGAAGGAAAACTTGGCACAAACCCTATACCAACCCGTCTGGCCAGCGTGGTATAGTATAGTAGGCCAGAACCTCCTTTCTAAGGAGAGGCCTATGTCCAGCAGTGGACTATTAAAGGCTGTTGATGTGATGAAAGACTACATAAGAAAGAATCTGAATAAAATAGGGAAAGTTAGATTTTTACAGTTCTTCCACGATATAGAAGATCGCGGCTGGTCAGTACTGATCTTGTAATGTTCTATTTGCAGAGAATAAATAATTGTGTAATGAGCACATGATCATTTACTGTAATTTGTACTCGTATCTTGTTGTAATTTGTACTGTAGGAAAGTAAAGATAAAGATAATGTCTCGTAAATAAAAGTTATCTTTAATTGAACCATAGGTATAGGTTTCCTTTATTTGTTATTTTTTTAATAAAATATAATTAGATAGGAGGAAGTTAAAATAATAAAAAAGCACCTCATAACTATGCAACAAGCGTAGATCTCCACTGTAGACTCCAACACGACCACCTTTAGAGACGGCCACGTAACAAAATGACTCTTCTCGCTCCAGGCTCACTAATTTCACTATGGTCTCTCTCTGTGGATAAAAGAGTAGAGATCTGAGCAGAGAGGTATGTTAAAGACCTTTTGAATTAGCCCCTTTGCAATGCGCCCACCCCTGACAAATTAGTAAGATGGCAGAGATGACGATGGGAGGATGACAAATTATAATTAATATACTACATAGATACCACTAGATATACTTGATAAAAATGCGGATTTTACTCCATAGTTACTTTGAAAATCAAACAGATGATCAGAGATAAATGAATTAAGTCCTTAATATAGAAGGCCTAAAAAAAACTTTGTTTAAATACAAGATATACAAGTCTACTCGCGTTTATTTCAGAGATCCCCTCCTTTAAAGAACTTCTGATGCGAAGTGCTCATCAGGTCTGAAACTAGCCGAGCATTCTCTGAATAAAACCATTCGATACAATTGATAAATATTTAGAAATAACGTTTAAGAACGTTTTATTGTAATCAATTTGACTGCACGGATGGCGTAGTGGTTTAAGCTGTCACCTCGCCGCTTACTACTACGCTGAGTGTTGTGGGTCCGATCCCCACATGGGACGACACTTTGTGTGATCCACAAATTGTTGTTCTGAGTCTGGGTGTTTTTTGTGTCCGTTTCATGTATGTTTGTAAAGTCCCCCGTGACACAGGATATATTCCTAATGCGGGCGTTGTCTTTTTAAAGTGAAGTGAAGTGAATCATTTTCATTATAAACAAAATTGTAAGACATACTTTACAATGATCTAGTTTCTTGACAGTCAGGTGTGTGAGGGGCTTCCACACTTCAGCTCTAGAACTGGTGGTGCGAGCTCCGACAGCGACTAGTTTTGCTACTAACTGTCGCCACCAGACCTTGCCGCTGCTGAATGAATCAAGGAGATGGAAGAGCTTGTGAGAGTGTGTTGTGTATTTATGATGACCTGTAGGGACAACCAGAAAACATATATTAACCCAACATACAAAAGAACTGCAAGCTCATGTTCACTTTTATAAATTAGGTTCATAATTCTGGTGCTGTGAGTACAGGTATGGGTGGGCTGAAGGATAATTTTCGTAATAAGAGTTTAGTCAAAATTCAACCCTCGGTCTCTCAACTGAAGTAGTAAAATAGTAAAGCATTACTAAGACTAGCAGATTACCGATTCAATTTGACGACTGGATGGCGTAGTGGTTTGTGTAACGGACTGCTATTCCAAAGGTCGCGGGTTCGATTCCCGCTCAAGTCAAACATTTGTGTGCATGAACATTTGTATTTACAAAAAAAAAGTATATATGTATTTATATCAGTTGTCTAGTACCCATAGTACAAGCTCTGCTTAGTTTGGGACTAGATGGCGTTGTGTGTATGTGGTAGAATATTATAACTATTATTATTAATTTTCGGTTATAATGCCATATAATCACGTTACGTTAATACTTTATTACAAAAATACCTTTTATGACAGTTGTGAGATCGAAACTTGATCAAAACTGAATTGTGACTTTTATTACAAGAATCGGTGTTTTGTTTTTACCAAATAAAAATTTTCTTTACTTCTTCCAAAAAGAAACTGACAGTTGAAGGAATGTCCAAACCCTTTTATTACACGCTTTATATTAGCTTCACTTGTATGTTTGTTTGTATGTTTGTAACCGACTCCTTTTGGGCGTGATTTTAACTGACTTTAAACGGTCAGAATTCGTTCAAACTTTGTAAATATATCTAGGACCGATGACAATACACTAATTTAAAAAAAAAATGTATAGTTTCAAAACTATAATTTTTATACTTAGAATTTCCCAGAATTTACCAGCTGTAAAGATAAAGATTATTCCTTTAACATAACATCAAACCAAAAATTTTGTCCAGCGCCGAAACAAATCCGCTCTCGTCCAGCCACAGTGAGTCTTCAGGCGGAGATTCGGAAGGTGCGAATTCGATTCCTTCCTCAGCAGCTGCTATACGCATTACTTCTTCCACGCGTCTGAGAATAGCAAAAATATTCCAAATAATAAATCTATACCTATTTACTGATTTCACACTTCCGTGTTTAAGTGCATTACCTATATGACGGATGAAGTGGTTTGTGTATCGGACTACTATGTCAAAGATCGCGGGTTTGGTTGCCGCTCAAGTCAACATTTGTGTGCATGAACATTTAATGTTTCGTCTGGGTGTTTCTTAGATTCATTGCACGAATGACGTAGTGGTTTAAGCGGTCCCTTCCTACTGCGCTGAGTATTGTGGGTTCGATCCCCACATAGGACAATACTTCCTGTGATCCACAAAATGTTGTTCTGAGTCTGGACGTTATTCGTGTCCGTTTCATGTATGTTTGTAAAGTCCCCCGCGACACAGAATTTATTCCTAGTGCGTTGTGTTGTCTTAAAAAAAATATATTGTGAATGTGGTAGAATATTATATAAGATCTAACCGGAGTACTGATATCTGGTCGACAATTTGAAAGTTTGTCCTAGTTACATCAGTTCTTTATCTACCAAAGCCTAGCAAAGAAGGCACATTGACGAACCCAATTGACCAATTATACTAACTTTGATGTTTTTGTATTCCACGTGGGAGGGCCATGCTTCACCACAACTGGGCCGGATTGATAGATTGATCAGCCCCGAATCTGGGGGGGGAGGAGGGGGGGGGGGCAAACCGAGGCACCCGCCATGGTCAGCAGTTTCAGGGGGCGCCAAAATCATAATAACCTAACACGGTTTAAAATTAAAATAAAACAACACATTGTTACCTCTAAAATCACGAATAATGCCAACCATCATAATTTATTTATGACTTTTTTTAAGTAATTTACCTCAAACGCTGGAAAGAGGGGGCGCTATTATTAAGTTTCTGACTTGGATCGAAAAAATCGTAGATCGGGGGCTGAGATAGATAGATAGATGGGTACTCTTTATTGCACACCTAGATTAGAAAACATACATACAATGTAGAATAGAAACAAAAAGAAACAGTGATACAGTGAACGGCCTTATCGCAGTCTGCGATCTTTTCCAGGCAACCTCTAGAAAGACTATACTAGTTAGAAGTATGTAAGTACCTTGTGATGCGTATTTACTATGTACGTATATTAACTTACTAATCTTATATTAAATACTAGCTGGTGCTTGCGACTTCGTTACCGTGGAATTTGAAAGGCGTTCTCTTAGTGGGTTCGATTCCCGGACCTGGCAAAATTTTTATAGGTTGTTTCTGAGAGGGAAAATAGCCTAAATTACTCCTTATATAGACAGCTATCTGTTTGAAGAAAGTTATCAAAATCGGTCTAGTCGTTTAGAAGATTACACGAAACAAACAGACAGACGGACAAAAAAAAATTAAGTTTGTTTTTAGGCATAGGTATCGTGCAAATAACCGTGTGAGCATGAAAGAAACCTATAATTTTGACATTACAAACAGACACTTCAATTTTTTATATAAATAACCAACTATTAGATACCTGTCAATGTCCTGGGTTTTGCTTCTCTCTTTATTTTTCTTGAAACATCTCCTTAACTTGCTAAGGACGGGAGGCGTCAGTTTCTTCATCAGCTCGCGGGCCAGGCATTCGTCTTCTTCCTCACTAACAATAATATATAAAAGCTAAGTTATATTTTATGTATAGCCGAGTCACGTAATGGAAACATTTTGAAAACTTAAATTATGAAAAGAAACATAATGAAAACAAATACTTTGTAACATGGAAACAGAAAACATGACTTTTTTTTTAAGTCGGTTCATAATTTAGCAAAAATGCGGGTACACGTGATGTATGTAGGTATACGTTCCATACACTTTTTTTTTGTAAATTGTATAGATTTAAGCCACTACGCGGTGTTTTATTCTCTAAAAATGATCTGTAATCTAAACAAATGTAAAAATACAAATGATCAACTATTAAAATTAGAAGACGATGCCATGAATTCTATTAACACAGTAAACAATTATTTCAGTACAGTTGGGGTGCGTTTGGCCGAGACAATTTTGGATGAATTGAAAACAACGGAAACTAAATTAGGCAACAATACACGTCTTACCAATAATTCAAATCAATCAGCCCACTCACTGTTTTTACAGCCTACAGATGTAATTGAAGTTACTAAAATCATAGATACGCTGAAATCCAGTCGGGCCACGGGACACGATAACATTAGCAATGATATGTTGAAGCTTAATAAACATGTGATCGCGATGCCCATAACTTATATATGTAATCTTAGTTTGTCATCGGGAATAGTGCCGAATAATTTAAAAATTGCAGAGGTAATACCTATCTTTAAAGCAGGTGATCCATTGGAACCGGCCAACTACAGGCCGATTTCACTATTAAGTACGGTGTCTAAGGTGATTGAGAAGGTAGTTAATATGAGGCTTCTTAAATTTCTAGAGGTGAATAGCCTTTTAGCTCCTAACCAATATGGGTTTCGCTCCGCCAGGTCAACGGAAGATGCCGTCACGGGTCTTGTTGATTTTGTAACTGATAAAATTAACGATGGACAAAAATGTGTAGGTATTTTTCTGGACCTGGCGAAAGCATTTGATACTGTTTCGCGACCAATACTTCTGAAAAAATTAGAACTGCTGGGAGTTAGAGGACTAGCGTTACAGTGGTTTCAATCATACCTTAGCGAGCGAAGGCAGAGAGTACGAATAGGAGAATACGCAAGCGGTTATGCAGACATTGCTTACGGCGTGCCCCAAGGCAGTGTTTTGGGTCCCACTCTCTTTCTGACCTACATCAACGATCTCTGCTCCCTCAAACTGCCACAGGCTAATATTTTTACCTTTGCAGATGATACTGCCTTAATTTTCCATGCTAAGACATGGACAGAGGTTGTGGATGTGGCTCAGGAGGGCCTTAGATGTACAGCCAGTTGGCTAAAAAATAATTTACTTACTCTCAACGCAAGCAAAACAAAACTTATAGCTTTAAGCATAAGCAAAAGATCTGCTCCAAAGGAAGGTCTAAACGTAACACTACACACATGTGAGTCTGCTAAGCATCTAGCTTCATTGCAATGTCAATGCCCGACTATTGAACAAGTTTCGTGCACAAAATACTTAGGCGTAATGATCGATGAACACTTATCGTGGAAATCACATATCGATGCAGTAACGATACGTATAAGAAAACTATCTCACATATTTAAAAAAATAAGGTCTGTAGCGGAACCGCTGCTTATTCGAGCTGTATATTTCTGTCTCTGTCAATCTATTTTGGGTTACTGTATCACTGCTTGGGGAGCGTCAAAAAAAACCCACCTTCTTAAGCTCGAACGCAGCCAGCGAGCTATTTTAAAAATAGCATTTAAAAAACCCTGGCGTTATCCTACCAACACACTGTACTCAGAATATTACCTCCTTCGTGTGAGACAGCTTTATATTACCTCGGTACTTCTTCGCTTTCATAGGGTTGCGAAGACCCTTGTGCGAACCTCACACAGAACTCTTAAGTGGGACACACCAAGGGCTCGTTCTGCTTTTGCTCGTCAATCTTTTACATTTATGGGACCCTATCTTTACAACAAATTTTTCAAAAGTAATAATACTATAATAAACCTGACGTCATTCCGCCTTAAAACTACCATCCAAAAATGGTTAATACCTATGGACTATGCTGATATCGAAAATCTGCTAAATATTGTTATCTAATATTACGCGCGCACCATCTTACACCCACACCCTAACACACACACACACACACACACACAAACACACACATAGACACACACACACTCACATACGCATATACACACACACACACACACACACACACACACACACACACACACACACACACACACACACTATCTTATATCTTTATATGATATATATTTAGTTTTTCTCTTAGCAACTGTACAACATACACAATAAATGCATTACTTTTTTTTTACTTTTAATACTATCTGAAACTCACGGAAGGGACTGGACCCCACGACACAGGAAATCCTAGTGTGGGGGCCAGAGATATTTTGTTTTAGTACTTGAGTACTCATGTAATTGTGTAAGTGTAATAATATGTTGTGAACAAAAAAATTTTTTGCATAAATAAAGATTATTATTATTATTATATTATTATTATTGTGCCCTAGTACTTTCATATAATGACGTGTGTGTTTCATGGTAAATTCGCCTAATTTAGTTTTATTTTTTATATAATTCTTTGTTAAACATCTATCCGTGTGGTGACGGAATAATAATAGGAGTGTCACCAACCCCTATTCATGTCATGGATGTCGTAAGAGCCGACTAAGAGAGCAAACTATCAATACAACGGCACTGCATGCCTAGAGAAGGAAAACTTGAAACAAACCCTATACCAACCCGTCTGGCCAGCGTGGTATAGTAGGCCAAAACCTCCTTTCTAAGGAGAGGCTTATGTCCAGCTGTCGACTATTAAAGGCTGTGAGTTGTAGTTAACTCTAACACAAACTAACTTTGAAAAATGAACTCACCCTGATAAGCTTTCAAGCGATGGACTTCTTACCGAATAACTTTTCTCGATAATTTCAGATAGTTCCTCGTTCAATGACTTTTGTGATTTTATAGACATTTTAACAAGTTATCGTCACTATAATTACAAATTACCAAACCACTAAATGTTAAATGTGAATCGCTATTGTTTTGTCAATAAATTTAGTGGGAGAAATATTCTTAAGTTTCATTAAGCGCCATCTGTTTTTAGTTTTGCATACCTCCTAAAGTAGTGTCATCTAGTGAACAGTAGTTGTACTAGCAACTTTTAATTACTACAACCAAACAAGTTTGTATTTATAAACCAAAGATGGCAGCAGGTACTTTGAAACAAAACACAGTTTATTATTGTATACTATTTGCGTGTTTTATTTTTAGAAAGTTAAAAATAAAATTACCTTTAACTTTTGTTAAAAAAATAATAATTTAAAAGTAGTAAAAACAACAACAAAAAATTTAGCCTTACAAAGCAAGTTTTCAGGATCCCTATGAAATCACCCTTCGGCACCACTGCTAAAGTGATAAAATTTATTTGGCATACATTTATGTCAATAAATAAAAGCTTAAAGTAGCAAAATATTTATTAGTTTTATGTTTGGATGTAGAGTGATATTCAACAGCCATGGCAAGGAGTGTTCCTGGTTCGAATCCCACGTACCACAATAAATTAGTTGGTAGGTTGGTTTTAATATTATAATAAATATATTTTGTGACACGATAGGTGCGATGGCATTGTGCAGTCGTTGGGTATCCACCTGTGCTTTTTTTAATTAATTTTAGTTCTTAAAAATGTCGATAGATGGCGTCAAATACCGTGAAATAACTTTTTTAGGTAAACACAGATTTCTGTTCTGTAGAGTAATTAACTTGTGAATAGCACGATGTTGTAAGTTTAGGTAGTGGTAAGCAAATTTTATCATACACTTAACTTATTACACATTTAGATTGTGATTCATGCTGTTGTACAAGAGAACATACATGCGGAAGATGTGTACGTATGGATTGAGGAGCCATTTTAGAATTTAAACGAATTTTAAACGGAAACTGCCCCCTCATTTAGTAGGTGAGAAAATAATTTTGTAGGACAAATCCTGAAATTTGTAATAAGATATAATAAGATATACGTCAATGTAAAAGTGGCTCCTCAATCCAAACATTTTGATTTATGTTCATATAACGTAAAAACGAAAAGTATTATACTACAAAATCGAGGATATAAATATATAATAAATAATATATTAATTTCATTACGATTTGAAGAGTGGCTCCTCAATCCAAACGGACATCGGAAGATTAGTTTAAAGTCATTTAATTATTTTGTTGTAGGGGAGCAGACGAACAGACGGGTATACTATTGGAAAGTGACTACCGTTACCATCTACCGTAGTTCATGTGACACCTTCAATTCAAAAGTTACAATTGCGTAGCCGTTCTTTGAGGCTCTTTGAGGCCCCAGAATTACGATGACTGCACGAATGGCGTAGTGGTTTAAGCGGTCGCCACGCCGCTTCCTACTACGCCGAGTATTGTGGGTTCGAATCCCACATTGGATGACACTTTGTGTGATTCACAAATAGTTGTTCTGAGTCTGGGTGTTCTTTGTGTGCGTTTCATGTATGTTTGTAAAGTCTAAAAAAAACAACGGCAATCCGGGAGTACCGGCAGAAGTAAAACTTGTTTTTTTTTTTTTTATTATAACAGGTTTTATTTGTTTTTTTTAGATTCGTAAAGCTCCGACATGAATAATGTCTTATGTTGTACGTACCCGTATATACACAATAAATGTGTAAATTACATATAGTTATATTTTCAAGGTATTTTAACCCAAACTCAACTCTCGTGTAAATGGACCTATATGTAGATACTTATATACGTCGTGTCGGTAACGGTAACAGGGTCGCGAGTTCGATGGTTTTTTCGCATCTCAAAAAAATACATTATTTTGTTAGTTGTTCAAAAATGCCTAACGCGCCTAAAGAATTGCAATTGAATTGCTTTTGCTAATACAAATACATATATATATATATATACCTATAAGTATAATTATCAGCAGTCTGATTCCCATAGTGATTACTTCAACCGTTAACTTTAAAAGTTTTACCGTGTGAGAGCTATGCTTCCGCACGAATGGGCCGGCTCGACCGGAGTGATACTACGGCCTCACAGAAAACCGGTGTTAAGCAATTCTTTCGTTGCCTTTCACTGAGTGAGTGAGGTTACTGGATCCCAAATCCCCCCTCCCGCTGACTCGAGCGTGAGGGACTCTAAGGGCGGCAACGCACTTGTGACTTTTGAGTTGCAGGTGTCCATGGGCGGCGGTAGTTGCTTACCATCAGGTGACCCGTCAGCTCGTTTGCCCCCTTATACCATAAAAACAAAAAAAATAATAATCAACAATCTTCTTCTTTAATGGCCTATGTCCTCTGGATGGGGTCAGAGGGCGTCCACAGCAAGTCTCCGTCTTGATCCTCCTCCTTGGTTCCTCGCCTCAACTGCTACTGTTCGTCGCCAAGATTGCATGCATCACACCTTCTATTATCCTTGGGGATCCAGTCCAGTACTCGTTGATGAGATCGGAGACTCTTCAGGGAGTATGGCCAATCTAGCCCCATTTTCAGCGTTTAATCTGCTGGTCGATCTGGGTTACCTGGAATTAATGATGAAGTTTAAAAACCCTAAATGTATTTGCATATCCATACTTCCATAATTATATTGTAAATGTGAAAGTAAGTTTGTTTGTTTGTTTATAACGCTTTTAACGGAACGCTTTAAATGGAAATCCATATTATCAGCGAGTAACATAGGCTACTTATTACCGCGACAGCCGACATATACGCGGGCAGAGCTGATTGCAAAAGCTAGTAGGATATAAATACAAATGTAGTCAATAAGGTGGTATGGAAACCAGACCAATCAATGCACACCCCTACGCGTACACTAATGTATATGACGTCATAATTGCTAAGTCGTGTCGTGTCCGTCGGGTCTCGGTGGAGCCGCGCCCTCCAACGGGCTTGGGTGTGTGCGGTAATATCAGGGGTGCCACGCAGAAGCAAGTTATTGTTAAATTGCATTATCGTGTTTGTTTGTTATAGGTATGATAAAACACTTAATGTTACAATTTTTTGTGTTAGGAAAGTTTGTAATATAGCAAGCTGCAGATATATACAATAAGTACTTTGACTTAACCAACGAAATAAGTAAAAATGGTTATTTCGTTGCGTTGTATGCCGTGGAAGTGGGTGCGAGGAGTACACCAGCTAAATCCCTCTATAACCTGCTTAAAGGCCTTAGAGTGCCAAGAGCTTCAGTAAGTTCTTTTCTTGAATGAATATCCAAAGTGACATTGCTAGGTTCGTATCAAATACGGTTAGGTAGAGGGGGTAACACAGCGGACAGTGGAGGTGAGCGCTGAGGCGTCGCAAGGACTACTCCCTAAACGTACTCCTGGGTCGCAATTCCCAGGCGTTCTCGCAGTCGCATGTAATGCTCCCATGCCATCTACTGATGGATCCGGCAACCGCATGGTGAGTCCATTGAACGTTAAAAAATAGGTCCTTTTTTAAAACACTACGTAGAAACTATAATGTTTATATTAGTATATTAAATTTAGTTTAATAAGTATATTATTCCGTTACTTTATTTAAATAAGGTAGTAAAATGTTAAATTTGAACCGATTTTTTTTTCCACTTTACTTAATTTTCCAGTAATAGGAGTGGCATATTTTCTCAACATTTGAATGGAACCAAAAGGGCAATATACCCTTCCAAAAACACAATTGGTTTATAAATGAAAGGGTTTTGAGGTAACAAACATGAAAATAATTTCGTAACAAAGATTTTTTTCGTCTAAATGTTTTGTAATCTCATTTTGTGCACATATCTCTGTATGGGTTACACAACCCCCTAACAAATATCTTGACAGAATAAAACTAGGTCATTACATGAATATGTTATTGAAAGAGTTATCTTCTAACTTCTAAAGGTCAAGGACTCTTCTATCATCAGCAACATGAGATAACAACTACCAAACGCAAATACGTGTTTTAGCTTGTTTCTCTAGCTAAACGGGTACGTATAGCTAAAGAAACTAGCTGTAAAATTTTAGGGTTTCGATCGATTTCTCTGGGATCCCATCATCAGATCTTGATTTGGTGGTAATGGGATCACCTCGGGAGTATACCCTTTGATAACAAAAATAATTTTGAAAATCGGTATAAAATTGACGAAGACCTAAGCAGCCAACATTTGCTAAAGTGGAGACCGCGATGGCAAACGTGTAGGGCGCCCTGCAGCACGAGGAACCGACGACATAATTCCTAAAGTGACCGGATGACGATAAAAGTTTGGCAAGTCATACTCACAGTGGGTCACGTAGGTCTCTGGTAGTGGGTAGGTTTTTGTGAGATCTTCGTTGCTTTTCATCTTTTCGTGTGAGTGTTACGAGAGATCAACTCCCCCCCCCCCCCCTAATTCTGGACGGGTACTCAAAGGGCGCCAACGCAGTTGTGTCTCTGACTTGTCTCTCTATCTTTTTCCCTGAATAGTGAGAGCTTGTCTGCCAACTTCTCTCTGTGAAAACAAATATAGTACACGCTCATTCAATAAAAACCTAATTACAATGCTCTTGAACCTTCCAGGATTATAATAATATTCTGAAAATTAAAATGTAGGCATTGTAACCAAGAAAGGGCTGTTAAAAGATCAGTTTTTATTGTTACCTCTGTCCGCGTCTAGTAGTCCCTTGAATCCGTTCCAAGAAAACTTTTGCGGACTTTATAAAAACTGAGAAGCAAACAACATTAAAACTGTTCATTAAAATTGTTCAAAAATATAAGTGTAATTCTGCTTCTTTAAATTAGCTTTTTCGATGGTAGATCGTACCGGTCACCAGTGGGTAAGTGGTCACCCTACAAGTAAAAGTTACAGGTAAGGTAAGAGATTATTTTTTTCTTTTCAGTTGTCCCAGTTACCCCAGATATAGGGGGAGGGATTTGGTTCCAATACCTTACTAACTAAGTAAAAAGCAACAAAAGTTTGTAAGGCCGCGGTATTTTCATTTCAAATAAATATCTAATA